AGCTTTCGCTCGGTTTCGCTTGGCGCATGTGATTGTATAATAAGTTTTTACGACGTAAATGTTTTTATATATCATTTGTACATGATGGAATGGCCACCTATTGATTAATGTTATCTGTATACTATAATAAAGACATTCCTCATTAATATAGTCTTACTTTTTTTACCACTAAAAAGTGTTAAAGTTCTTCGCACAGTATACCAGTGATGCCCAAATTTATAATGAAAATTCCATCATATTGTTATGAGATTGTTATTTTCCCTGCGATCAAGTAACATAATTTGATCTCTTTTGAACAGTGGTTAACAGACAGGAAGAAGAGAGATCTCCAGAAGAAAGATGCAGGTAAACAACACTTTAAAATTAAGCCATGTTCATGCTGTTTTTGGTGTGGTGTGTCAGAAAAATATTTTCCCCTACATGTCTGGAAGCCTTTTAATGTCCATCAACTGTAATTCACTTTATGTTCGTGGTTGCAAAAGTTTGAGAAAAATGGACATGTCTGCAGAACTACTGTATGTTCACGGTGGAAGCATGTTGATAGTGGCAGCAGGTGCAGAAAAAAGAAAGTCAGTGAATTACTGTATTTGTTCGTGGTAAAGACAACCGTGAACATGAGTTACTTACAGCACTTGACAAGCTACAAAGAGAAGATCTCATTCTTGGTTTGATGTGTTGTCACTCCCATTTCAGACATCCAAAGAAGAATACAGCTCATTCAGGACTTTGAGATGCCGGCAGTCAGTAACTGTATCAGGAGCTCCAGGGATGGACAGTACCTCATGGTTACAGGTAGACAGAGGTTCTATGTAGTTTTGGTCTTCATCGATTGGCGCTCTTTGGTGATTTTTTGTGTCTGTGCTTAATACACAGTGAGTTCTTTTTTGTGCTATAGGAACCTACAAACCCAGAGTGAGGTGCTATGAGGTTGCTCAGATGTCCATGAAATTTGAGAGAGGCCTGGATGCAGAAGGTTAGCAGACGAGTAATCACCAATTTTTCTGCTCCTTTCCTTTTGGTGCACACAAGGAGGCTGTTTCCCTGTAACTTTCTCCTTGGCATACACAGTTTGAAAACATGTGTTTGGACTGTACTTTCTTTTCATACATCAGATGATCTCTCTGACAGCATCTCTCCTTTATTTTCAGTGGTCACTTTTGACATTTTGTCAGAAGACTATTCAAAGGTAGGTTCAGAGTGAGGAGGTATGGATACAAACATCAATGGTTTAAACTAAAGTATGTGTACAGTATATAAGTCTGAAGACTTATAGAAATCTGAACCAGACCCAATATTCTATAACAATAAGGTACAACAGTAACATACAAGTACAGTTCAGTGGTGGCTTACCCCTTACAATAACTTTTGGTGTAACCGCATATTAGGTAACCTGACTTATTCGTCGTGTGAAGTGCATCAGAAGTGTATTCTTAGATACCTATTGAACTGCCCAAACATATTATCTTCCAGCTCCAAAATTTGTTTGTTTGTTATGTGCAGGTAGTGTTCCTCCACTGTGACAGATATGTGGAGTTCCATGCTCAGTACGGCAGGTATTACAGGACCAGGATACCCAAAGTTGGGAGAGATTTCTCCTTCCACTCACCTTCATGTGACCTCTACTTTGTTGGAGCAAGGTCAGTACAGTTAACATTACCAAACAATTACAGTAGGTTCTCCGCTTTGTCTTCCTTCTCAGTTGTGCATGGTGGTTCATTGTGGCTGTAAGTTTCCTTGTTGTGAGATTTTGTAGACATATGGGGAGGGTTTGCCTACCCCTCTTACTGTAGTGTTATCATACTGAACTTTATGGTGCATTTGACCAATGATGCTTCCTGTTCCTAAGCTCATATGTCCTAAGTCATTGGTCATTTATCATGTCTCCGAGGAAGGGTACAGTAGGTTGACTAGCTGAAAGTTTTTTTTTTTGTTTGAACTTGAAGAAATTTTAGCTGTCCTAAAAAAACCTAAAACTTGTATATCTGTTTCAGTCGTGAAGTGTACAGACTCAACCTGGAGCAGGGCAGGTTTCTCAACCCTCTAGTCACTAATTCTGTGTAAGTATTAAATGGTCAACACTTGTCCTGTAAACTCTTGTTTGAGATTCCTGCATTCGTCTATCATTTCATTTGTCAACCTAATGATTATGTTACCTACCTACCTACATGTATGTACCTAACTACCAATGTTACATTGATATATAAATTGACATATAAAGTACTAAGAGTAGAATGTGATAAACTGTGAGAGATGATATTGTGATGATTTAAACACATTGAACTGAACTGAACTGAACTGAACTGACTGAACTGTCTGCTGTTGTTCCAGAGAGAGTAATGTATGTGACATCAACCCAGTACATCATCTGTTTGCCTGTGGAACAGTAGAGGTATGGACAGCCTTACTTTCTACTGTCTGATTTTGTTTTTCTGAAATTTATCACCATATCCTATCCTAATAGATAATCAGGTTAGTCCTTACACATTGCTGGAATGTCTGACAACTGAAATTGGAATACATGTATTTCCTCAGGGTAGAATAGAGTGTTGGGACCCTCGAGTCAGGAGTCGAGTAGGGGAACTGGACTGTGCCTTAAGTAGCATCACAGAGGACACTATGTAAGTAAAGCCGTCTGATCTTTCTTTTTATGTTCCTTTTACGTTCAGCTTCAATTTTGTTGTTGTTGTTCTTGTGTACTCCTGTTTTGCGGTTGTTGTAAACAATCAGTTTTGTCATACTCATAGTCTTCTTGAAAATCCTATGACAAAGCATACTGCAAATGTGACCTACTGTATAACCTCAGGTACCCTTGAGACAATGGTTGTTTTGTGTGTTAACTGTAGGGTTGAAGGTCTGCCGGCTATCTCAGCCTTGAAGTTCAAAGACGGCCTGACGATGGCAGTGGGCACCAGCACAGGACAGGTAACATCAACATATTCTGTTTTCATGTCAATCGTCCAGTTCTGCAATTCTTAATAAGCAACAAGAAACAACAACATTTGAATTGATATGGTCTGTTTGTGTGCAGATCTTGCTGTATGACATCCGGTCCAGCCGCCCTGTCCTGGTGAAAGACCACCACTACGGCCTGCCCATCAACTCTATAGAGTTCAACGACCCTCAGGACCTGGTCCTGTCCACCGATAGCAAGATCCTGAAGATCTGGAACAAGCACACGGTAAGAGATGGACCCCTTCCTCGTCATATTTTTCCAGTTTTAGATTTTTTTTTTAATTTTTGAGGGAGCAAAGTGTCTTCTTAGGTTTAAAAGCTTAGTTTTCGTCTGAAATTGTCATCAAGGCCAAATCTACACTTGTGTGTGACAACGTTTTCCTGATAGTTGGAAATTGTAAACAAAATAGTGCATTGTTATACAGTGTTATTGTTTGTTGTTTACTGTTTATGATCCTCCCCTGTCCAGGGTAAAGCCTACACCTCCATCGAGCCTGAGAGTGAGATTAACCAGCTGCATGTGTGGCCGGATTCAGGACTACTCTTCATGGCCAACGAAGCACCAAAAGTCCTGACGTACTTTATACCTGTAAGTTGATGCATTTGTCTGCCCTATTTTACTTGATTGACACAACAAAAGTACAGTGACTTTTGTAAGGTTCATAGTCAAAAATACAGACAGACACGTTGGTACAAAAGAAATGACATATGAACAAGACTATGGATGAATCAACATGCCGTGTCACTAATACTACTTGGTCTAAGCTGTAAACATTCTTTGATATATTTACCTTTTATGATTGCATAATTGTGTAGCTCAAAGGCTATAGAAAAATGATGGACACTGTCCTATACACCAAAATGCATGGGAAGGATTATAGCATGTCCTTGATACTTGTCCCCAGTCCCTGGGCCCAGCCCCCAGATGGTGCTCCTTCATGGATAACTTAACAGAAGAGTTGGAGGAGATGGAGTCTGCCACAGTGTATGACGACTACAAGTTTGTCACAGATACAGACCTGGAGAACTTAGGTAAACAACAAGGATTTTTAGACAAAAGTTGAAAAGAATTCTGTGTAATACATCCCCGACTCTTTCAAGTATGTCCTCAATTTGGGGTCATAAACCCTTTGTGACAAATGTGACAGGGCTCATAGATAACTATGTTCTGATTTTGTCTCAAAGTACTGTATAGTAGTACATTGTACATTACTTTATGCCTTTAAATTTCTTTCAACTACAGTTGATAGATGTACAAAGCTGTTATGCTATTTAATTCAAACACATTTAGTATGCCTTTTCTTATTGTATTTTGATCCAACTATTGGGAGAGATTGAAATGGCCAATCATAAGGCTTGTTTCAATTTTGCCTACCTTCCACAGGATTGTCTCACCTGATTGGCTCCCCGCTCCTCCGTGCGTACATGCACGGTTACTTCATGGACATACGTCTGTACCAGAAGGCCAAAACCATCGCCGAGCCGTTCGCTTATGAAGAGTACAGGCGGAACAAGATCCGACAGAAGATAGAAGAGACAAGAGATAGCAGAGTCAAAATTAATGTAAAACTTTGCTCTCATTTAACTCAAATAAAAGTATTTACTGATTGCTCTATTTTAATCATACGACTGAAGAACAGGTGCTGTTTACAAAAGCTTTTTTGTGACCATGTCGTGATATGGGAAAAATAAATGCTTGACAAAGGGCCCTTTGAGGAAAGACTTCAACTGCAAACTTGCAGTCAAACTTGACTTGGATAGGAAGCCGACATACACATAAATGGGCACACTTTGAAGTTTCTCACATCATATGTTTGTATGTTTGACTTAGATGGAAGGTCTAAAGAAATGAGATTGTGAAAGCATTCACAAAAGCTCAATACCTTTCTTTTATCCCACAGAAGTTACCCAAAGTTAATCGTGACCTCGCTCAAAGGCTTATGGAAGAAGAGGACAGCAATGAGGGAGGCAAGAAAAAGAAGGCAAAGGTATAGATATGAGAGACTTTTTGCACATGTTGATTCAGAAACTGTTAAGATGTTGATGTTAAGTCTACATGTGGGTTTAAAATGATTATGTAGAATGATTTCCTTTTTTTTTGCAACCAAAGGGATAAAGCAAGTCTTGGAGCAGCTATAGAACCATTTTACAGTACTATCAATTTGACATGCTTCCTTGTGAAGTAATCCATTCCTTTTTATTTCATATTCAAGAATTCATTGCTGCTTTGTTTAACTTTTTCTTTAATTTGACATGTAACATTAAGTGTTGTATTCCACCAACTGTCATGACTGCATAGTAAGTTTGAAACATTTATTGACAACAAGTCCCTAACTGTGCCTTATTGTCCGTACAGGAAGCGTCCAGCCTTCTGCAGGATGACCGTTTCTCGGCGCTGTTCTCTAATCCAGAGTTCCAGGTGGACACGCAGACGGAGGAGTTCAGGCTGCTGAACCCGGTCGTCAAGCAGAAGAGCAAGAAGAAGAGAGAGAAGAGAGAAAAACTGGAGGACCAGTTCCAGGAAGTACAGGAGGATGAGGAGGAACAGGTTTGTCAGTTTTGTTGACCTGTTAACATACTATGTTATGTGAAACTTATAATCTAGGACAAGCAAGGCACAAAGTACACACTTGCAACTGGCCATTTGCAGAAAATCTTTCTTAACTGCAGTTTAAAATTTGACAGTTTTGTAGGATAACAAATGTCAGGATTGGTATCTTGAATCAGAGCTAAGCTACTTAACAGCATTAGCAAAGGCTTGTACTGCGGCAGGAACAATAGCTTCTGTATTTTCCATTTTGCCAGTAAGAATGACTAGTTCATATTATATAAGATTATACAGATATACCGGGTAATATGTTTAATTTTACAGGTTACAGAAAAAAATCATAAGAATTTCAAGGCCTGAACTGTGGTGTGCTTGATGTTCAAGTTAGTTCAACATTACAAAATGGGGCTTGCCATACATTGTATCTACAATTTTTGCACAATGAAGGTTGATTGATTGATTGATTGACAGCTGCCCATGTTGTTGTGATTGGTGCAGGAGGAGGTGGAGGGGCGGGGCAGTGATGATGACAGCAGCTCCTCAGAAGATGACCGTGACCTTGTGGAGGAGTTAAGGAGGCAACATCGGGACATCAGGAGGGAGAGGGCACTCCAGCACAGGGCTGATAGGGTAGGCAATGTGTAAACATTCCATACTTCTATAAAATTCCCACTATGAATAGCTTCATCAGTTTGATGGATCATAAGATACTGGGATTTTCTTGTGCACAACCAACTTCTTACGTCCATGAAGGTTTGACATCTAGGTAATAAGATACCCAAAAAAATGCAGCTACTGAATCAACCGGATATGATACCTGAAATGTCTGACCGTTTCCAAAATCATATGCAGTTGCTTGTTTTGCATCTGTTTTTTGGCAAGTTCTTCTTACTTGCCAACATTTCAGGAGTGAGTCCACTAACCTTCTCAATGACTGCATCAGGAATGCAGAAGTATCTTCATTATTAAGTAAAATGAAGAACTTCGTTCTGTACTGTGTACAACTCAAATCTCCCTCTGTTTTTTCTACCTCATCTGTAGGAGAGGGATGCTGTTACAAATCTGACTCCAAAGTTCTATGAGCTGAAGACAGGGGAGGAGTTTATGAAGGATGGGGACCAGAAGAAACACAGTAGGAGGAAGATGAAGGCCAGTCTCGGGGAGCGGGTCCAACTTCAGGAGGAGTCCGACAAGATGCTGAGGCTCAGCGGACAGGCTGTGGGGTCTAAGGAACTGACCTTTAACCTGAGAAAGGTTGGTGTGTGTGTGTGTGTTTGTCTGTTTGTGCTTGTGTGTGTTTGTGTTGTGTGTGTTTCTGTGTGTTGTGTGTGCATGTTGTATGTTTGTGTGTCTGTTTATGTACATATGTGTGTGTGTCTGTGTCTGTGTGTGTGTCTGTGTGCATGTTGTGTGTGTGCATGTGTGTAGGTGCGTGTGTGTTTGTGTCCATGTTGTGTGTGTGCGTGCATGCATTGGAGGGTAGTGGGAAGTTTCTCCAAAGGAATCTCAGTTCTGGAAACAACAGATACATTGTATATGACATTCTAGTAAATAACAGATGGATAGAATACTACCATACTAGAATGTACGATAAGTTTGGATATCCTTTTGGATAACAGTTGTGCAATAGATATTACATGTATTTCAATAAGAGTGCACAAGATTCACAAACATGACACCACCACACCACAGGTGGAGAAACCGCGGGAAACGCAGCGCAAACTGGACGAGGCCCAGCACAGGTTAGAGAGGAAAGAGGTGCGGAGGTCTGCCGGACAGTACCTCAAGAAACCCAGGACAAAACCTGGGACCTTCTGGAAGGGCAAGAAGAAAAAATAAGTCACTTCCCCATGTTACATGTATATTGTGATAAATGATATCTTGTAATAATATAAACATTACGCTTCCTTACTGTATACCGTAGATAGCAAAATCATAATTGCTATTTGCTTATTCAAAAAGTGCTTTTTATATTCATTTGATTTTTTTTCTTAGAATCTATTCATAACTGAATCATGGCATTTTTCTGTTCTGGATCCCTTAGAATTAAAATGAAAATGATTTTATTTTGGAGAAGTGAAATTGGATTTTAAGCATTAGACAGTTCTTAAGAGAACTGTTGGTAAAACATTCTACCTGCAGTTGCAGTTACAGGTACATGTACAATGTGACATGTTTTACAATGATTATCCAAAAATGACTGCCAGAAAACTGTGATATGGTGTTATGTCTCTTTTTTCTTGGTCTTGGGTTTCAAAGTTTTGTTGCAATTCCCAGACAATAGTGCCTATGTAGTGTTAGATTATTTGGGTTTATTTGGAATAATGTTGCAGTCTAGTAGGATGGCCTTCCCTTCCATATACATGTACATGTATACACACTTGAACATGCACAGTCACAAGTGAAAAAAAATAACCATAACATGTCAATGCTTTAAGCCTTTAACTACCTAGTCTCAGTGCAGACCCCCATATACATATCTACATGTGTGGCATCCCAAGCAAACACGTTATTTCTACTTCTGCTCAGAGATGAGTGGTTCTCTGTTGCGATGTTTCCTCCTCTCCTCTATGGCGACAGCACAGAGGAGGAAGACTCCGCTGAGGAAGATGGCTGCGCCCGCAAACAGGAATGATGGGTAATACTTCTCAGTCATGTCATAGAGGGCACCTGGGTGGCAAAAAAACATTCAAGGCTCATTTTTATTGATGTACAAGCTGCTATTGACAGGCTGTCAATAGTGACAAAATCTTAATAACAGGCTTAGTTTGTCCGTCAACAGTGTAGAAAAATATTATTGGCAGGAGAGTCTGTCAATAGCCTCTGTTATGAAAGTACAGTTATTATCATATCTACCATAAGATTCAAGACATTAAACTTGTAGATGTTTAATTTCTTGACAAAAATATATATGGACGTGTTTTTGGTACTGTATTTGTTGACCTTGAATGGGAGGGGGTTAAGAGACAAGACAAACGAACCTGATATTGGCAGCCCGACCACAGAGCCGACCCCCTGGCACAGCATGACCAGTCCCAGCCCGCTCTCAATCCGCTCCGTCCCCACCACATCCGCGGCCAGCGCCGTGGTCAGAGGCCGCACCAGTCCGTTAAACAAGCCGTACATCCCAGCCAGGGCCGCCATTTGTGGGTAGGTCACCCCCAAAATGATAGCTAAGGAAGAAGCCGACCAAAGCATGCAGAAGACTGCATATTGGACAGCACGTGTGCATCCAGGGACTTTGGACACCAGTCCAGAGAGCAAACGTCCGATGAGATCCGTGATAGACAGGACGGAGGGAAGGAAAGAAGCCTGAGTTTTTGGGATCTGGAGGGACAGTGCCCGCGGTACCATCTGCGTAGGTGCCACCAGGTACGACATTTCATTGGCCACTACACACGCGCACAGGACCAGGAACGGTGGATGGCGGAGGAGGGAGACGTCAAATATCCTCGGCCTGTCCTTCGTGTACAGGTTCACGAATATGCTGGAGGCACGGGGGCGTCTTCTGAATTTCAAACTGGATGGAAGTTTTATGCTGCTGCTTCGCCGTCGGTGTTGAGGATAAAGGGACACGGCTTCTGTTTCCTTGCTTTCATTTCCCAAGCTTGTGAAAGACACAACAGAGTTGTTCTCTGGAAGGTCGCGTTTACAACTCTGGGAGGCGGGAAGATTTTTATCACGTCCCTGTTCCAGTAGATTAAAACGACTCATCCTCGTGTTTTTCGAAATGTTTGTTGTTCTTGGGGATCGTAAGAGAAGTGCAGCAGCACAGTGGCTCAGGTTCATCCCGGCATAGATTTGTAAGACCTTCCTCCATCCGTACAGACTGATGAGATATTGGAACAGCGGCGAGAAAGCAAACCCACCCACTCCCGTTCCTGCCAACACCACGCCGTACGCAAGGTGGCGCTTTTTGTCGAAGTTCTGCCCCACGGCCACCAGTGCAGGGTTGTAGGCCAGCCCCCAACCTGTCCCTAGGGAATATGAAAACTTGTTGTGACTGTTTCATTTCAACTTTTGTGCTTAGTATGATAAATCTGCATTTTAGTTTGGTATCTTAGCACATATAAAATGGACTAATAAACGAGAGAAAGGGATGACTTGGAAATTTTACCGAGTTATAGTAGATATAAAATGTTTTAAAACTTAACTCACCTACTACCACGCCCATGGTGACGTACAGCTCGTAGACGTTGGTGACGTAACTACTCGTAAAGAAACCCAAGGAGGATACAATTCCGCCTACGAACACTAGGGGGCGCGCACCGAACCGCTTGTACAGCATGGAGGAGAACAGACCTGTGAATATATTTGAATATTTACCTTCGCCAAGAATTGGAGAAGGTTATGTTTTCCTGGCCGTGTGTGTGTGTGTGTGTCTGTCAACAGCATAACTCGAGAAAGCTTAGATGGATTATCTTGATATTTGGTAGATGGGTAGGCCTTGATGAGAGCTCGAACTGATTAGATTTTGGGCCCCCTGGCGGCTTGTCATGGTACTGCAGCTGAACTTCCGGTTTTGATATCTCATGATCCAGACATGCTAGGGTGACGAAATTTGGATGGCAGGTAGCTCTTGTGCTGGGGAAGAAGTGACGTGAGTTTGGGCCCCCTAGTTGCTTGCTCTAGAACTGCAGGGGGGTTTAAAGGACAAATGTTTAAAGGAGGATAACTCAAGAACCGATTGATGGATCATCATGATTTTTGGTATGTAGGTAGCTTGAGTAATGCTTGACATAATGATATTACAATTATGCAAATATGGATGTAATTTGCATAATTAATGAGGAAATTCTATTAATCAACTGCATTCCATGATAGGAAGTTCAAGCTTGCGACATATGTTATTAACAACGAGAGAAACACAGGCAGATATCGATTATGCAAATGAAGACTTAATTTGCATAATTAATGAGAAAATGTTATAATTGCATAGTGGTAACTGCCTGGAATTTTATACTTGGGGTGTTTGAAGTTTAGTGAAGGTAAACATAATTTAACATAACTTATTCAAATAAGGACCTCATTTGCATAATATATGAGGAAATGCTATAATGGCATTCTTTGTTAAAATAAGACTGTTGGTGGAGATCATGATCAACAGATATAATTCATGCAATTGCGGATCCTATTTGCATAATCAGGGGGATTAATACATTGTATATAAGTTCTCATTCATAAAAGCTAACATCATTTGGCGAAGGTATGAGATCGTGGAACTCTAGTTCCAGTTTTTTTTCTCGCCAAAACGGTTGCAGAGCGTACCTTTAACCCTCCAACATGGCGGTCAACACTAGTACATACGTCATAGTCACGTGAGTGCAAACAGAGCACGTGTTGATCCAGTGAAGTTCGTGTAAACACAGGATAAGGCCATATCATAACCTGCTTATCAGGCTTCCCTCGCTAAAGAGCCGGCCTTATCACCGCGCTTATCTGTCACTTCTCCCCATTTCCAGACGGATGGACTCGTCCGGCCCTGTTTCCTTGATAGCAGAAGGGTCAAACCATTAATCTGTTCTGCTGGATATCCCTAACTTACGCTTATGCCTTGATAACATTGGATACTAGTACGCGTTCCAACAAATACTAACGATTAGTGGCCTTTCCCCTGTACTCGAATTGTTTATTGGTTCTTTTGTGTCAACGACAAAAGGACATGTACAACTTGCTGATTGTTTTTTTGTTTTCGGAGAAAATCTCCATTCGCCAGAGAGAAGTATTAATGAAATCGGACGGTTGTATAGCAAGCTGTTGGAAGCACATCGTATATGAACATGTGTATTATATCTGATGATACATGTACTAATAATATGTTGAAGACAGCTTACCTCCCCCGTAGGCAAGGGCCGATAGTATGGAGATCGCCCACGACACTTCCATCTCAGTGGCACTGAATTCCTGAATCAGGGCCGCGTAGAACACACCTGCAGCTCGGGAAAACCCGCCAAATCCGCAGCTTTCAATCACGAAAGCAGCGAACACCACGGCCCACCCTCGGCCTCCATCGGGCACCTTCGTCCTTTCGGCTTTCTCTTCGTCGACGTCTTTTCGGATGTTGCTGGTCTTTCTCGGTTTGGGTCTCGCTTGTTTTCTGACCGGCGAAGGGCGAGACATTAGAAGGGCCTGATGTTTCGGCGCTGCGGTTTCTTCAGGAATGGTGGTTAGAGTTTCCATGGTGGTTTTTACTGAAAGACGTTTGCTGGTCACAAGATTGCTTCTCATCCTTCCGGCTGGAACTGCTGAGGTCGCAAAATCCGGTTGCAGGCGGCTAGGCCGACCCTACTCGTCGACGTGTACGAAACACGTTCTAACAAAAAGCGTATAATATATTCTTTCACAAAATTGTAAGTAACGCTACTGCGGAAAATTTGATACTTGGAATATTCTAAGGAAATCAGCCACATTGTAATCGATCATATTTATGTCGACCCGTGTTCCAAAATGAGTTGAAGGCCTTTCTAAATGTACTAGTATGTGAAAACAGTAACGTTAGTATTTGTTGGAGAAGGTGTTCACCGACCTCATGCCTGATTGATATCTTGTATATTTTCACATTTTTACAAGTCGGGACCATATAACGTATTCTAGCCTAATCTGCAGTACCGCTCCTGGCCGTATCGTTTAAAGTCGACCATTTACTAGTAACTTTCGTAAGCTGGGAAATCATGAAAGGCTCACAAAGAGGAGGAACTTCTACAACATGGAGACGATTGGAAGGAAGAAAATATAATCTTCATATTTGCATAGAAAAAAGTACATGTATACGTGCAATGTGCAAGATTGCAATACCAACACTTTCATTATCCATGTTCCTTTCTGAGATATACTTCATACCTTGTTTAGAAAGGTTATAGCATTAAGTATATATGTGAACACTTTTTTTTACACATTTACATGCCTTGATTCGGCTTTATACACGTCATTTCATTTTGTGAACAGTAAATATTCCACCGGGACCACATAGACAAGAAAACCTTCAGTCGTACAGTTCTGTTTGCATGCACAGTACATGTATTAGTAACCACAATCTGACAATAACGTGATATGCACTTGATACAAATAATGCACATCTTTAATAAAGGATATCTCACCCATAGCGTCTGGCAAGCAACAGCAACATTATTTACATGAAACTAATTAAACATATCATGATACACTTGCCAACAAATGTGACACAGCTGCAGACTGCTGTATGTATGTTGTGGCTGCAGCCTACTTGTGAGGACGTATTTTAATTTGGCTTCTATATGTCAATAATCTCAGTAAACGTTCAATGGACGGCCAGCGTGCCATTTACCTTACAGTACGATTCTAGAGCAGGTTTGGTATTATAAAGTACTGTGATGTGAAGGATACGTCACACTGTGACTTTCAGACAGACATCGTCAGTTCCGTCGGCCCTATCTCACTCTCAGTCTTGACACTTTCCTGAGATACCAGATCAACCCGGAAAATAGTCCAGCCAGCTTCTCTTAATCACATTCGTCATACGATATAGTTTGCGATAGCCAACTCAGGGCATACTTGGAGCAGTCGTGAATGTCTCGTATGAAACTTCGAGTCAGCTGTTCTTTTTATGCGGAAGTTAGTGGAAGATCCTTGTCGACGGTCGGTTCTGCCATCGTCTGTCTGACTATTTCACCACACGAAAATCCTATAGTGTATGTAACTTCACCTTTAGTGAGGCCTATGTGTCATTGTCATTCACAGAAGGTCCTCATATTTGGGCGGTCGGTCGTCCATAGAGGGGGTGGGGCTGGCGCACGAGCAGCTGAGATGACGGGATGACCCCCGGCGATCCTCACACCGGGACATACGTCACCGGAAGTAAGATAACATTGTCTGGGGTTGAGACTGAACTTGGTGCATACACATCCGGGACGTTTCCGGATAAACTGGACACGGACGGTCTGTGGTGACAAAACACGCGGTTAGTCATAATTGGAGATATTAAAAAACTTCCATACAACAAAGTCCTTCGTTCATATCGCCCTTTTAAAGAAAGAAAATGGAACGGTGCGTGCATGTTCAACGTCAGGTACCTGAATGTGAAGAGACTTGAGTAAGCAGGGGGCGGACTTGGGCACAGGTGAGACGTCCCCGACAGGGTGCAG